TATTAACGTTTTCCTAACAAAAGATGGCGCAAGGGGGCCTGTCAATACAGTTTTACAACCATTTTCCAACCGGCTACGGTATTTCCAGTCTCGAATTTTATGACGACCTATACGCCCGCCGTTATTAGGAACGATTTTCGTTTCCGTTTAGTAAGCGGCTTATCGATTTCCTTCGTGTTAAGCGTCAGAAACTTCCGTCGGATTGTGTGGTCTCCCGCAGAGGGATTTTCCCAGCGAGTGGTTTCTTCTCGAAGAGAAGATCTTTTCTCATGTGGAAAACAGTGCTATTCTCGACCTGACGAAATACATAGTGCGAGAGAGAGAGAGAGAGAGAGAGAGAAAGAGAGAAAATCCCAAAAGTCGCCCGCATGCCTCGAGATACACGGCAGCGATGGCGAGCAAAATGTGTGATGCATTGCTCAGTTATGTACACTTTCATCGGGATGATGTCATTCGCTCGCTCATGTGTGTGTGAGAGAGAGAGAAAGAGAGACCGTGTCTCGCATACCGCAAGGTCGCGAGCAGGGCCGGCGCGTCGTTATCTTGCCGCCTGCAGCAACTCGGAGGGAAATTATCTCTTCGCACCCTGAGGAACTCTGGAGAACGAAGATAAAGAGCGTGCGTCAAACATTACTGATTTGACCGAGAAGAAAAAGGAAACCAAATCTAAGAAAATTAAATTGAATCAAGAGAAAATTAAATGAAATTACAGAAGAGAATTAAATTAAATTAAAGGAAAGGTGAATAAAAAGGTTGTGTCGGACTGAAAGATTTAGCATCTTTGTGCGAAGTCAAACTAAGAAAGGGAGAGACAGTGAGAGAGAGAGAGAGAGAGAGAGAGAGAGAGGGAGAGAGAGGAGAGAGACAAAAAAACCACACAGAAAAAAAGTTATATTCACTTAAAACTAATATACTCATTGATTTATATATAAGTAACGTATATATGATTCTGTTACAAGAATTTTTAAGTTTTGAATTTAAAAAATGTTATAATTTCATTTAAATATAACAAGAAGATCTCATAAGAAGTGCAAAATATAATTATTTTGATGATATTTTCTTCCAATATTTAAAAACATCATATTCTCAATTCAATATTTTGTGTTTTTGAATAGTCAAAATTATTTTAAATAGTAAGATTTATTTTTTTCTATTGAATCTTATGTAAATCTTTGCGTTCTGGAGAACGAAGATAAGAAGCGTGCATTATTACCGATTCGACTAGGAAGAAAAAGGAAACCAAATAAAAAAAAATTAAATTAAGAAAAAATTAAATTAAATTACAAAAGAGAATTCGGCTAAATTAAAAAAAAAATTGAATAAAAAGAATGTACCAGATTGAGAGATTTATCTTTGCGCGACATCAAAGAGAGAGAAAGAGAGGGAGAGACAAAAAAGCCGCACAGAAAGAAAATTATATTCACTTAAAACTAATATACTCATTATATGATTGTCTTATGTAAAATGTATTAATGTAAGTAACTTGTCTTCCTTAAACACCATGTAATCTTATCTTAAGATTTACTTATAAAAAATAAATTGATATTTTCGAAATAATAGTGTTTTTTTCCTGTAAAACAGAGCGGATTTTCACTTGGAAATTAGATCGGTACTGCTGTTACTAATAACGTCATTAATAATGTCACGATTATCTCGACTGACCTGATCCGATATTTTGATAAAAAACGCTATGAGAAAGAGAGAGAGAGAGAGAGAGACTCACAAGGGGAAATGTCACTTGTGCAACGGTGTGCAAGTCGTTATCACGTGCCCGGCTTGCTACTGCGCACAGCTGACCCTGTAGGTATACATGTGCATGCACACACACACACACACACACACACACACACACACACACACACACACACACACACACAATACACATTCAAATACAGACTTACGTACACGAGCACATGTGACGAGGAGAAGAACAAGCACCCGGGTGCTGGGATACGAGGAGGTACGAGGCGCGATGGCAACGTGCACTTCCGGTTTTCCCGAGAAAAGAAAGGAGACGGCGAAAGAAACGAACACTGCTCTCCTCGGAGCCCGTCTAGCGTGATCTATAATTATCTCGTCAGTGCCTACCCGCTATATTTTAAGTAGCCAAGCGCGCGATATATCGCAACCTCTCCGAGCTGGCGTCGAGCTCGTGAATCGACTGATTGACAACAGGAAAATCTTTACGTACCTCCTGCTGACGTCATTAATTCGGAGCTTATTATAGTCTATGCAATTAAATGCATTTGGACTGACGTAACCACGCTTCGCAAACTCGTCGTTCCGTTTTCGCGCGTACTGAGTTTTAGCGGACCGTTCGAAGATCACCGAGTCATTAGGGCAAATCGCGATCAATTTTTCACGTCGATTTTACCGACAATTTTCAGGAGTGCTCTTGGCTCTCCGCGGCTTCTAAAGTAATAGTTATTATTTATGAAGTTTCTAAATAACATTAGATAGTTTTGCAGGAGACATTCTATATACGTACACGATTTGATATAATATGTAATACTAAATGTATATAATAGTAATAACTTGAAACTTGAAAAATTTGAATTTGAATTCAAAGTTAGACCTAAGTTTTTTCAGTTAACCCTTTAAGTATCACTGATACCAATAGGGATCACTTAGGATCGGGCAGTTGAAACCTTATAAATGTGCTATTTAGAGCGTTTTACAATATTTAATGTTAGACAATATTTTATTAAAAAGAAGTTACTAGAATGTTCCATGAATTATGCGCCTTAAAGGGTTAATCGTACAATACATATAACGTTACATTTGTAGTCGCGATTCAACTGAAAAATATAAATCTAACTCTGAATTCAAATCTGAACATTTTGTTTGAAAGAAATTTTAAGTAACAACTATTGATATAGGCCTAAGAAACAATTGTTATCTTAGTATATAGTAGATTACAAATAGTTTAGACACAACGAAGTTGACAGATCGACAAACTGTCAAAATTGAGACTCATCACTGTACATGCGTGACAGACTTACTAATAATTATTCATCATTATTATTTATCATTATTATTTATTATTTTTAATTATTATTACTGTTATTAATTACATTATTATTGCGTAAGTCCGTTAGTAATGATTTTTAATTCGACAGTTTGGTGAATTCCCAACTTCAACTTGTGTTTTGCAACCCACTGTGCGCATCTAAAATAGCAGTTTTAAGAAATTTAACCACGTTAACTATATAATAATAATCTACTGTTGCAGGTATATATATTACTATTATATATCATATACTTTAAATTCTTACTATATTAAAAAGTATAGTTTTATTCATATTTTAGTATTACTTTATTACGCCCTTCAATGCGTATGTTCTTGTGTTTATTAGAATTCTCTTTACACCTGCTCATGCGCGCCTAAGAACATTAGTTTTAAAAAGTTTAGTTATGTGTTACAATAATAATACACTAGTGCAATTATATATTATTATTGTATACTATTATGTATTTTAACTATTGCTACATATTGAAAAGTATAGTTTTATTTTATCATATTTTAATATTACTTCATTTACGTTTTTTTATGTGTATGTTTATGTGTTTATATTCTTTATTCTTACTCGTACGCGCCTAAAAATATTAGTTTTAAAAAGTTTAGTTATATAATAATAATTATTATAATTATTATTATTATTAATAAATAATAATAATAATTACTGTTGTATTTATATATGTTACTTTTATATATTATTACATATTATATATATATATATATATATATATATATATATTATTACATATTATATATATTATCACATTTTTTAAACACACATTATTATATCTCAAAAAGTATAGTTTCATTTTACCATATCTTAGTATGACTATCTCTTTTTTTTTTATTATTTATATATATATATATATATATTTATAAATACATTTATATTACTACTCGTACACGCGTCTAAAAATAAAAGTTTTTAAAAATACAATAATAATAATAATAATATATACTATTATAGTATTATATTTCACCAAATATATTTTTTAATATAATGTATTTATAACATATATATGTATATATATATATATATATATATATATATATATTATTACATATTATATATATTATCACATTTTTTAAACACACATTATTATATCTCAAAAAGTATAGTTTCATTTTACCATATCTTAGTATGACTATCTCTTTTTTTTTTATTATTTATATATATATATATATATATTTATAAATACATTTATATTACTACTCGTACACGCGTCTAAAAATAAAAGTTTTTAAAAATACAATAATAATAATAATAATATATACTATTATAGTATTATATTTCACCAAATATATTTTTTAATATAATGTATTTATAACATATATATGTATATATATATATATATATATATATATATATATATATATATCTTTTTTTAATATTACTATTTTAAAAACAATATTAAGAAAATATTATAGTAAAAATTATATTAGAATTATATTTCTTTTTGCAATAATCTTGTAAAGCTGAACTATACTGAAATTGTGTAGTTTAAATTACAATAGAAATATATAAAGACGATTTATCTGATGTACGATGTACAAAAAACATTCTAAAAAAGTAACTATAATAATTTTATGATAAAATGTTATGCGTAACGTTTTTAAACAAAAACATAGTAATTTTGGTCACAATTCTGTATATGATCCAAAAGATTAAAAAATATTATTGTAAGTTTTTTGCATTCTCTCTGCGTACAGCTCTATTATTCTATCGTGTTTTCGCATAACTTGTTAACATTTTTCGACGCGTCCACCTACTACCGTACCACGATCATTTTTTTTATGCTTACTCGCCCAACTTATGCATGTTCGAGACTGTGTGTCGCGAGAGCCCGTGAGAATCGGCCCTGTCGCGATGGGATCGCGATAAGAGAAACGCGGTGTTACACCGCGCGAGCAATCACAGGATGATCACGCATCTTCGTGATATTCTCTATCTTTTCTTCCCTTCTGTTTATTTCGTACTCACGCGGGAATGCAACGTCGAAAACGGCCGGCCTCCTCGCCGGCGGAACGGAGTAACGGGCAACGACGTGCGCGAAACAACGGGAAACGACGAGGATCCACCTCCCGCGACGCGTCGCCGCCGCGTTTTCCGGCTTCGCCCGCAGCAGTTGTGATAAGTTCGCTCGTTTCAGCTACCCGTCCGTGTGACTATTCTTTTCTCTTTTCCTCCTCCTCCTTTTTCCACTGCTCCTCTAATTACCACCTCCGTCCTGCAATCGATAATCGAATGATGTATCAAATATTCCACATATCTGACTCACGAATATTAAGAATGGCGTTGGTGCAGAATTCCTAGGGAAATTTGGAGCCAAAATTGAGAAGAAGAAGAAGACTCACGAATATTTACAGTGCTCGCCGACGCACAGGAATCCCGAAAAATGGGAAACGATAAATTTTTCGACAATTTTTGGATTTAAATAAATTCTAGCGCTAATTTCTAGTGGCACATCAAGGAGGCGTCTCATAAATATATTATTTATCAATAAAAATTTCGCTTTTACACACATATGTTTCCAAATGCTTTTATGTTTATATTAACCAAATAATAAATTTTAATTTGAAATAAAATCGAGGTAAATATATATAGGAATAAGATATATAGTAATGTTTATATATATATATATATATATATATATATATATATATAATGTTTAAGATGCTGTAGCTATCGTAAATGCAGGCGATCTCTTCTATAAAATATCTGTATATAAAAGTATAAAATATGAAGTATAAAATAGAGTAAGTCCAATTTACGAGTCACGACGAGTATATTTTCAAAAATCGATGTGTTGTGAAAGAGAGCATCAACATTTTCGTACAAGCGAACTAGGTTCTGCAGCGTTATTACATAGTGATAAAATTATTTATTTACAATATATTATATATTGTTAGAAAGAGAAAAAATCGTAGAATTTATTTGTATACTAGTGATTATTATGTCTATTTTGTGGCTTGTTTTAATCGATGAAAATGTAATTCATATCACTCGAACATGACATTCGATAGTATTTGTTAGAAACGTCAACTTCGTGAACTTTCTGCTGCTTTAATATATGTTGTAGAAGAAAAATATTTTACATTATGTCAGTTTAACATTAATACTACCAAATAGGCTTGTATTTATTTAAATTCAAAAATTGTAAAAAAATTGATTTTTTTCCATTTTTCGAAATTCCTGTCCCATTGTGCGACGTGTTGAACACGCTTGTGCGTTCGCGTATTTTTTGCGAAATGGTATCGAGTCGACAAAATGGCAGGCAGGCAGGTTCTTGGGAATCCCCGCGATCCTGTTCCTTCTCGCAGTTTCTCCGTTTCCCGGACCGTTGTCTCGGTTTTGATAGACGCATTATCGCGCGCGCGGGACCGCGCGACCGTTGATCGCGGAAATAGTTCGTCAGAGAGCGCGCGCGCGCGCGCGGATTTGTCACTCGACTGCAATTCGTGTGATACACGGAGAGATGAGTCAGCCCAGAACCGATTACGAGGTAGTCGCGCGCCCGTACGTGCCGGAGTGTCGCCGACACGCGAAGAAAGTGAGAGATCTCTCGCGGACCCAAGAAATTAGCATACGTGCAAGAATCGCGCCAACGAGATTCGTCATTTCGCCCAGTGGCTCGCGCATGTGGCTCTTGTTCTTAGTTTTCGACTGAAATCAGTTTCTGAGTAGACACGTTTAAATGAAGAAATGCTTAAACGTGTTTAAGCGCATAAAATAAACTGGGGTTAATGTCTTATATTGCAGAATTTCTAGATTACAATTTCTCAGATTAATTGCTGCAACAGACTATACAAACATCTTGCATCGTCTGCAAGTCTACCTTTATGTACAGCCTATAATATAAGAATTAATTGTAATTAATAATAGTAATAAAAACTATAATTATATCGATTAATATTTCTTTTATTTCTATCATTTTTGCTAAAACTCTGAAGTTTTATATTTATCATACACACAGAAAAATACAGACTGATTCAAATAAATGTTAATATTTTATAAGTTCAAATATTTTATAATTCGTTTATATATTCGTTTATATATTCGCTTATATATTCGTTTATATATTCGCAAATCTATCATAAGTTCGTTAAGTTTATTGAAAATATTGATTTATTAAATCAGATATTATATTGATTGATTTTTATTGAACTTGCTAAAACTGGAAAATTCTGAATCCTAGTAAGTTTAGTATTTTTAATAAAAAATATTAAATTAAAACAAAAATTCGGTTTGCTCACTACATAGAGTGAAATCAACTTTTTCTGCGATAAAATTTTATAATATTCTTGTACAAAGAATAAATTCTTCTTCTCAGTACATAATGAGCTTTTCTAAAATTTATGATGAGTAAGAGAGACAGGGCCTAGATGTATATATTTTAGAATTTTGAAGTTATAACTTCTCAGACAACTAATTGTTGTAACTGTACAAACATGATACATGCAGCTTTCTTCTATGTTTTAATGCCAGCCAAGATCCTGTTAACTGTATAATTTATTTTGTAATAATCATAATATAAACATGCAGCAAGGTCATCTTGCTCTGGTGTCGGATTCAGTTGCCTAGTTGCGCAAAGAAGACCATGTACAAAATATGTATCCTAGTTAGTAGTTTACTAACCTAACCTAGGTTTTCGCGAGAAGTTCTTCACAGCTCTTCTGCCAACTCTTAATTATAGGCCAGTTTGTCCGTCCACACGTTTGGTTTCAATCATTTTATGAATGAAAATTGCTTTTTTATCCGAAACATTATGCCATACACTTGCAAGAGACTTTATTTTAGCTGATAACACGTCGCTTAATTTTATTCACTCGGGATGACGATTATTAATTCTAGTCGTGTAAATAGTTATTCATGTTGTCAAATATATATATACATGTATCCCAGCATCCGTTAAAAATGTTTAGTTATCGAGAAAATCGAGAAATTATATCAAGAAAAAATTTGTATAATAATTATAGACTTTTATTTATATAAATCTCGCAATCCCTTAATCTCTCATTTAATAGTCTTATAGAAGAAAATTTCAAGATTATTTCTTTTAGTACCTATAAATGTATCCCCTCATAAACGCCATCTCTTTAAGACCTGTTTTAGAAGTCTTTACTATCTGGGAAGTAATTTTGGATCTTTCAAATATAATGACTATATTTAATGCCGTTATAATTTTATGAAGCCGCATGCGAAGCATAGCGGAAGATCATAGATCAAAACAACGCATATATTAAACTTGTTCTTTTTAGTTGAACTAATACTTCATTGGAACTTCGTTCTTTTTCTTTTTTTTTGTAATTTTTAGTATTTTCCACTAGTCATAATTTATGCGGAAAGAAAATAGTTTTCTTTTTCATATAAATTATTTTCAGTTTTACTTGATTTTTTACATTGCTGGAATAAACTATTAATAAGACTTTTATCTCGCTAAGGAACATAATGAATTTTGCTAGAAATATAATAAATTTGTTAATAGCGCATTTCAGTTCTTGAAATATAATTTAATTCAATTACTAAATTCTATTTTAAAAATTCTAATCTTTATTATAAAATTCTCTCTGTGTATTTTGATATTTACATTTTTTCTTATACCTTTTCCTTTCAATGTTAGATTGTATACTTCTTCTATTCTCTCTCTCTCTCTCTCTCTCTCTCTCTCTCTCTCTCTCTCTCTTTTGCTCTCCCAGATAGTATGAAACATCCTAAAATTATCCTATATATATCGAGAATGTCCTAGGGACTGACTTAGACGTCCTAAGTACATATAAGATAATTTTAGAACGTTGTGATATCTGGAAAGATTACTTAGTTCAGCTAAAAAAAAATAGACATTCCCTGATGAACAGACCTAGATAGTACATGATATTCTATGGATATCCTATAAATGTTCTAAGGACATTTCCTTTGAACGTCTTTAGAATATTCCTAGAAGATTTTTGCTATGAGATACTGAACATAATATGCAAACATTTAATGTATTTCATGATACTATTGTAACAACAATTGTGTTTAAAATATATTTGTTTTAAGAAATATTCATTTATTGCACTGTGATTTTAAACAAAATACTTCATTTTTATCAGTACAATAATTTCGGATTAATTGCGTTTTCTTGCCGGCAAAATAAGCAGCAATTTTCACGGCATCACATAATTTTCTTTATATATTAAAAAAAGAAATTCTTTTGTTGTATGAGAATGCATCTTCGCGTACGTGTACTAATCATTAAACAGATAATATGCCAAGATATGTTTGTCTGAGTTGTTTCATAAAATCGTTTACAATAGTCTCATTTCATCAGAGAAGTTCAGAATTACTCGTTATATAATCCACAATACACATCCTACACGTTCTCCGTTGTACTATTCGAACGTCCATTTACCTGCCGCATTCTCATTTATTGTTCGACCAATCGCAATCTAAAATCCTCACTCGAGGCTGTCGCTCGACGCGATTCAGTTTTAGAGCCATTATGGCTCGCGCTCTGACGTCAGAGGCCGTGACGTCACGCAGGAGCACGCGAGAACGAGATGGTGGGTCGCGCGACTGCCTGCGATGCAGACAGTTCTGGGATTTGAAACGTGACGGCAAGGTATGTGCGCAGTAACGCACGTTGCAATTGCGCGCTTGCGTACTACATGTTTGTACGTGTCGGGCTATGCCGCATTCATTGCACGGCCTGTTCGTTTTGCTCGCGCTCCCTGCACTTGAAACGGGACACCGCGTATATTTAGATACGCGGGAGGGACAGAGAGGGATAGACAGGTGATAGGCGAGTAGACGGAGAGAAAGAGAGAGAGAAAGAAGGAGGGAAGAAGGGAAGCAGGAGCGACGGGGTGTAGAGAGTGTAGGAGAGACAAACGGTTTGCCAGAGGTCTATCACGAGGGAGACTGCGAACGTGACGACGAGATTCATAACTCACCCGATCAGACTCTCTCCTCCTCCAGTAAGTGGACGGTCTCAAGGTCGTGGATAGCGCACTGTCAGTCTGCCAGATAAGGGAGAATGACACTCGCATCCGGTGGAAAAAGGGAGATTCGCCTGGCGTGCACTTGTCGATTTGGATCTTCGCCACGGCTCGACTCGCCGGAAGTCCAACGAGCAAAGCGACGCACGCGGGCCACGTGATTGGCTGCCGGCGATTGGCCACCGTGTCGGGAGCACAGTTCCGCTCCTTTACACCTTCTGCACTCTGTCATTGTCGTTTCTGCGCTCGCGTCTGCGTGAAGCCGACAATGGCATGTGTAGGATGAAAGTGGAAGCGGTGAAATTTGAAGAGCAAGCCGAATTCTTGCCGACCGTATTCGAGAATCGTCGTGAACGCAAGACGGTTGTGTTGGAATTTTCGTATCTGAGCGATTCACTCGAACAGGCGGCACGTGAAAACAGGTGAAACGCTGGCACCTAAGCGGTGAGCTCATTGGCCAATCACACTCGAGACTTATCGAAAACGTGAGATTGTCATGTCGAAATTCTCGACCATGATTGATTGATTTACTTAACGGGCAGCACATGGAAAGATACACAGCCCCTTATTCCGCGAATTCTCTTTTGTCGATAAAAAGTCTCTCCAGATGTGGCTTATAAGCTTTCTGATTGGCCTTCAGTCGCATTAATGTGACAAAACCTATAACCCGGGAGTCGTGTTCAAAAATTAAGTGCGCCATTTTATCCCAAGTTCCGTTTTTTTATACGAGCGTCTCGTATAAGAAAAACGGAGCTTGGAATAAAAAGGATGTACTCTTTTACGGCTCCAGGTGGCAGAAACTTTTAAAAAACGCTATATTTCTTCAAACGTCTTTTAGACGTTTTCAAGACATCTTTTAGAAACTTTACTACTACTTTCTACATACTACTTCTACATACTTTGCTACATACTGATTCTCTAACTTTTAACGACAATATTGCTATCGTTAATGTATGTAGTCGTTGCGCAGATATAACACCATGGCAGAAAAGCTGCGCAACACTAGTGACATCGCTGTTACGAAAGAATTCGACTACTGGGAAGCAAATTGGCCAATTATATTCGAAAATTATCAAAAATGCCAGACTATCCTATTGAAATTTCCGAGTATGACTGCTCAATTAGCTTATTGTTTAACCCATTAACTACCATGATCCCCATTTGGGGATTTTTTTGCTGTGGTGGATTCTTTACTTATTTTTCTTTTTTCAGTTTCTATGTCAGAGAACCCAGAACAACTGCAGATTCATTGAATAAAGAATATCAGGAAGGAGCATGTTGCGATATATCGTGTGTAATCGATTGTGTTGCATTGGTTCAGTTTGACGACGTGAACTACGTCATAAGTGATGTACCGGAAACACAATCTGGCGGTATACTTTAAATATCTTGTAAGTATATAGCAAAAAAATATTTTAAAAGAATAATAGAAAAAATGTATTTATATTCTACTAATATTGGTGAGGAAATAAAATTAGACACTTGTAATAATTTTCTCTTCAATACATTTACGCACCTTTGTCTATTCGATTAATTGACAATATTACGTTAAAACATTTATTTCGATTCCATAGTATCTCAGACAGCACAATTTTTCAAAGATGTTCCAAATACATCCTGAGGACTTCTAAATGTCCGCATAAGTCTCCAGGATATCCCTTGAAGATCTTGTTGCTGTCTGAGTATTGATAGTCGCATTTAGTTCATTTTCACTTCCTTCGTACTTCTAATAAAGCATTTTCTCTTTATGTTCCTTCCTGGTATTCTTTATTTTATATTTCTCCATCACCGTCATGTTTGAACACAAAAGGTCTGTTCCTTTTGGATTACACTTTTCGCTTTTAGAGAGGAACAAATTTGCAATTTTAGCATAAATAGGAAAACGAATTCGGTATTCAATCAGCTGAAAAGAGCAAGCCAAGGATTTTCAATAGATTTCACTCGGGACACTAAATACGCAATCAGCAATGTCAACATTGGAGACGCGCCTTAAAGCCGGCTCCTACGGACGCAGTTGCTCCCTCAGCCGTATCGCCTGCACTTTCTCCCGAATGGCGTCTCTGTCGCACCTGCGGTTCGACGCGTGCTTGTTCCACTCGGAAATGTACGCAGAACGAGGCGGAGTGCAGTTCACGGAGAAGAGGGCGCTGCGCGCGGCGCTCACTTGTCGCTGCTCGTGAGGCGAGCCAGTCAGCGGCGCACAGTCACGCACAGTCAATGCTCTCGTCTCGATCGCGACGTTCACGACGAGGAAGACAGACGGAGCGCGAGAAGGAAAGAGAAAGAAAGAGAGAGCGCGGCCGAGCCGAGCCGAGCGGAGCTGAGCTGAGCTGAGCGGAGCGGAGTCGCGATAAGATGGCGTCGTCTCGCACGTCAGATCAGGGCGAGAAGCAGTGAGGGGCAGCGGCTGGGCAGGAAGAAGAGGAGGCAGAGAGGTGCAGGCACAGAGACTGAAGAGACAAGACAAGACAAGACTAGACGTGTCGGGCTCTCGGGGGTGTGCGTGTGTATATGTGCGTGAGAGAGTGGTGGCGTATTCGCAGCGCTCCGAGTGCGTGCGTGTTTCGTCATGTCCTCCTGGCGTAGTCACCGTCGTCGTATCGCCGTCGTCATCGTGATCGCGCGCTCGGGGCGGCAGCCAGGTCGCGCCGCGACGGTTCTCGCGTGATATCGCCCAGTCGTTCTCTCTGGTGACGGTGAGGCCGACAGGTAGATCTCGCCTCCCTGGTAGCAGCCAGCGTCCGATGCCTTTGTTCGCCGCCGTCGCCGCCGCCACCACCACCACCATCACGATACGGGCCGGGCGATTCGTGTCGTCGCGACAACAACGCGAAGACCAAGAGGAAGGCGAGGCCTTCGAAGAAGTAGCGCTGCGTCTCTCCCCGATCGCGTTGGCAGCAACGACGAGAAGGCGGAGGAAGACGAGCACGACGACGAAGAGGAGGAGGAAGTGCACGAGGACGACGGCCAAGAGCAGGAGGAGGAGAGCGACGGCAACGACGACGACAACGGAACACGAGCTGTCGCTGCTGCTGGTGCCTGTGACAGCGGCCGCGGCGAGTGTGAGCGAGAGAACGCGATAATCGCGTGTGCTGGAGCGATCCCAGTCTCCGTCACTCCGTCATTGTGCGTCCTGTGCGTGACAGTGTGTGCGTGCGCGCGTGTACGTGCATCGTGTCTGCTCTCTGTGTCTCTCTCTCTCTCTCTCTCTTTCTCTCTCTGTGGTCTCACCACTTCCTCACCACTTCCTCGGCACCCTGGTGTCCTGGACACGCCGCGGCGCAAGGAAAGGCGACGTGGCGAAGTCGGCGGCGACTACGACGACGACGACGACGGGAAGGACGTCGACGACGGCCACGACGTCGCGACGGAGATGCGCGAGTTCAAGGTAGTCGTCCTCGGTTCGGGCGGGGTGGGTAAGAGCGCGCTCACCGTGCAATTTGTCTCGGGCTGCTTCATGGAGAAGTATGACCCCACCATCGAGGACTTCTATCGCAAGGAGATCGAGGTGGACAACTCGCCGTGCGTGCTCGAGATCCTCGACACCGCCGGCACCGAGCAGTTCGCCAGTATGCGCGATCTTTACATCAAAAACGGCCAGGGCTTTGTCGTGGTGTACAGCCTGACGAACCACCAGACCTTCCAGGACATCAAGGCGATGAAGGAGCTCATCACACGCGTCAAGGGCACCGAGCGGGTGCCGGTGCTACTGGTGGCGAACAAGCTCGACCTTGAGCACCAGCGCGAGGTCGATACCGCCGAGGGCAACGCTCTCGCACAGCTGTGGGGCTGCCCGTTCGTCGAGGCCTCCGCCAAGAACCGCACCAACGTCAACGAGATGTTCGCGGAGATCGTGCGCGAGATGAACTTCAGCCCCGAGAAGGAGAAGAAGACCTACTGCTGTTGCAGCGTCCTCTAATACTTAATCAAAAGTCTCGTCGGCCACGCGGAACGAACTATGTAATCACATGGACCCGAAGAGGAGCCGCGCCAGGTGACGCAGGAGACGCACGCGCGCGCGTCTTGAGTGTGTGTGTGCGTGTGTGTGTGTGTGTGTCTCTGTGCGAGTGTATGCGTGCGCGCGCGCGCGCGCGCGCGTGGAACGTGTACGTGTGCGACAGTCGTGCGAGGCGTGTGTTCTCCACGTCCAAGCTCGCCGAGGCTCTTCGGATTCACCATCGCGGCAGCCGCCTCTGGCGACCTTGACGCTCGCGCGCCGCGATCCCGCCAAGGCTGACCCCCTCGCCGAGGCCTCTCCGAGGGGACGCGAGGACACGCGCGTGTCGGCGACGGGAACTCGTCTTCAGAGCCGACTCTTCTTTTTTTATCGCTAGGAAGATATCACCGTCCGCGCGCGCGCGGCCGTTACACATACACACACACACACACAGATATTTTATTATACGCGCGAATAGTATTATGTATGTAATTATTATTGTAATATATCACATCGATAAGCTTAAGGGAGCGCGGGCGAACGAATGACAAACGAAAGCTGACTTTTTCTCCACGGCCGCGAAAAGGACCAATGCTGCTGTCCTCTCTCTCTCTCTCTCTCTCTCTCTCTCTCTCTCTCTCTCTCTCTCTTTCTCCGTCCCTCTTGTGTGAGCGAGAGAGGGAGAAAGAACGAACGAAAGAAAGAAAGAGAGAACGGAAGGAAGGGTGTCGCCGCGACAACTGCGTGCATGCGTGCGTGCGGCTGCTCGCGTTAGTCGTTAACGCGACTCGTCAACGGCGAGAAACCAAACCCGAAGCTCATCGGCCGGCTTTCTGCTCAATTTCCGAGACGATCGTCGCGCGCATACACACATACACAAGCACATACGTCCGTTCCGTTCGCAACTCGGCCCGAAGACACAAAAACTGAAGAAAAAAGCAGGAAAACGTGAAAAAAGAAATGTGTGCTATATACAACCAGAAATATTTAGTTGTGGATAACACATCACCCTGGTTGGTGAGGTGATGATGTGTATAGATTTTTTCGTTTTGAAAAGGATTCTAAATTATTGTACGTTAGTGCTATAAGTTAGAGTGAGAGAAAGCATACTTATTTTCACTCTAACTTATTGCACCAGTTCAAAGGTTTTTTTTGTAAACGACTAGATTTAATGTGTATAGGTTTGTTCGTTTTAGGAGAAATTCTGAATTAGTGCACATTAGTGCTATAAGTTGGAGTGAGAGAAAATATACTTATTTCACTCCAACTTGTTGCACCAGTTCAAAAGTTCTTTGGAAACGACCAAATCTAATGTACATGTGTATAGATCTGTTCGTTTTTGGAGAAATTCTGAACTAGTGCACGTTAGTGTGCAATAAGTTGGAGTGAGAGAAAGTATACTTGTTTCACCTCAGCTTGTTGCACCATTTCAAAAGTTCTTCGAAAATGAACAGACTTTATTGTTAATGTGACTGAAACCGTCACTTTGTCACACCAGCCACATCCATGTGATTGCGCGTGATCTGGTTGTGGCACTCAGAAATGGGATGACTCCATTCTCCATAGACTCTGCACCGAGAGAGAAGTACCTGAGCATTTCTCTGTGAGACAAAAGTTTTCTTCTCAGAAGTGAACTTTGTACCCCACAAATAAGTGTTCAAGTGTTTTCTTTCTCAAGGTGGAGCAACCAAGTGTCGTCACTGCCGCAACGCCAGCAATTGCTCTGTGGTTGCAGTAGCCACGTAATTAGTTGTTCCGCATTTTACTGTTGAATCTGCTTGGCACGACCAGATCTACGTGCGGTCCAGCCATACTGCTTTTTTTTTCCGTGAAGGCTTCGCCTCACGTGCTCATCGTATTTATCACGGTCGGAACTTAATTCGATTGATAGACCACTTTCGTGGAATTGATCGCTGGTTGCGCAATCCTTGCGTTTTTCTCGAACGCTGCGGCCGAAGGAATCGTATGTATGTGTGTGTGTGTATAAGTGAGTGAGTAAGCGACTACACAACGGCGACGACATTCGACTGTTATCGAGCGTGCGGCGATAAGGATTCCGTCGCCGGTGAATGAATAATTTTCACGGCGAGACCGGCTCACGATGATTCTCGTCGCGATGAATCCGCGCCTTCACGAAAAAGATAGGCTTCCTTCTGGAGCTCGTCACGACGCGGCGCGTTGCGTGCTGTTGTGCAACAACGGCCCCGGCGTGCTCTTCTCCGCGAGCCGGTCTCGACCAGTGCAATGATTCAGTTGTGTTAGAGGATGAGGGAGAGAGCGAAACGATACAGTCCTAAGCTTAAAGCTTGATCTACAGTGTGTTCTTTGCTTTCTGTCTCTCTCTCTTTTTATCCCTTTCTGTGACTCAGAAGTCTTAAGTCTTAAACCAGAGAAAGACAGAGAATAAGAAAGAACAGAAAGCAAAGAACATATTGTATATTGAGCTTAAGCGTTGGAGGCTGCAATAAGTGCGAGAAAGTTAGAGAGAGAAAGAAAGAGAGAGAGAGGCAGAAAGCAAGCGAGAAGGAGAAAGAGTCGTATAAATGTTTTATACGCGCGATGTTGTTTAGTGGCACGCACTGGCGAATATATAAATAAATATATATATATATATATATATATATATATATATTATATACATACAAGGTTGTACAGTTCTAACACGCTCGAGATATTTTACGGATTGCGCGAGGCGACGACGCTCCACGCGCGGGGGTGTCCAGAAGACACACGAGTCGGGAGGCAGGAAGGTGGAGGGGAGGAAACGTAATATGAAGTTTTATACGTTGCGTAGCAATCTCGACGGATGATAATGATAATGACGATATTCCGAGGGACGGAGATAACCCGAGATATAGAGAAGCTGTTGTGAAGATTTTTTCTTGTGTGATTCCGTTTGTGTGTAGCGAAGCACTACTAATGTAATAACTTTTACTTTAAAAACCTTTTCCGTTTAGCTTGCGAGCCGACGCAGCACGACCGCCGCTTTTTTTTGCCGAACGAGCGCGTCGGAGACGAGCGAAAACGACGTCTCGTCGCGGGTTATTTTGCACAAACCGGAGAGAGACACGACGCTGTGGGTACTGAGAGAGCGAGCACGACAGAGAGAGAGAGAGAGGGGAAAGAAACGCGTTTCGTAAGAACAACAACAATGCAGTATCGCATAATGTCAATCTAAGCGTAATTTGTAAGCTTTGTACGATGAAGTTTGTATTATATACACACACGTACACATACACATAGACCAAGACTGCACAATTGCTATGGGATTGACTTGGTAACTTCTAATGAGTGATCTTACACACCAATGAAAGAGAGATAGAATGCGAATGAGAGAGAGAGAGAGAGAGAGAGAGA